ATTGCCTTCGACAATACACTTTGATTTTCCTGACACTTTATCTCCCTAACTTTTAGGGATGCTTATAGAACCTTTGTGGATCTCCAGATGCTTCTTGCAAGTTCAGAAATATATATACAGAGTAATAAGAATTTAACACAAGTATTATTTTCATAATCTGCCCAATGAACTCTTCTAACAGGTTGGATTAAAAATATAACAAATAGAGTAAGAAAAAGAAATGTTAGCTGCAGCAAATGATATTTCCCTATTCATAGCTAAGCCAAATATTTATTTTAATTCAGATAATTAAAGTTCTGTTTTTGAAACGTCATTAAGTTTGAGCTTCAGTAAACTTTCTGTTCTTCTGTCCTATCCATGGGTTCATTTTTGCAATGTCATTTGCTGTAAAGTTTTTGAATGTCTTTTTCTTACTGAAAATGGTTTTCATGTTTATCAAACCAATTAATTCTGTTTACAGGGTGTTTTTAAGTAAAGTCTGCAACCACAGAAACCGTGAAGATGTAAACTACTTTATTGAAGAAATGCTGGTTTTTGTTCCCATGTATCATTTCAGGAAATGGCTTCCCACATCAGACCACTTTTCGTACCTCTGATCTATGCAACAGTCTGGATACATGACAAAGGGGATCATGACTCACTGAAAATATGGACAAACTATAGGGTGGTGGCACTTGTTTGGGAGGTTATTACTGAAACACCATGACTAATATTCTAAGAATAAGTATTTAATTATGTCCCATCAATCTGCCACACCCCCCCCCCAACACTACTGCTTAATGCAATTGACCCTTGGGGTTCTACTAATTCCATTATATCAAATGTGCCCAATTTCAACCACTCAACCCTTTTTCTCCAACATCAACAGAGGTTTGGTAGGCTATTTAATCTGGCGCAGGAGTGGTCAACCTCTTCCTAATCAAAGGCTGTCCATGCTCTTTAAATAGCATGTCAGGGGCTGCATTAGAAGAACTTGAAGGGGCTGGACAAAACTAAATTCAAGTTCTTTTCATTTATATTTACATTTTATTAAAAGCAACCAATGCTCATATGGTTATTCTCAGTCAAGTGTTTAACTGTTTTTCACTTTTGTCACCTTCAACATTATCATTTAGTAACCACTTTCAAAAGTAGCCAATGATTTTTTATGGCTTCGCTTTGGCAGCATCTCAGTGTGTCTCATACTCAGATGGGGAATGGTTGCAGTCTTCCCAAGGAGTCAGGCCCATCCTTTCAGTTGGAAAAGCAGGTGGAAGGCCATTCCAGAAACATTTGATCTACTTGGCTTCTGTTGTACGTTTGCTGCCACCCTGTGGGAACTGGGTGACCAGCAACTGGCATTTGGGAAACCAGCTTCTTCACTATGCAGCTTTTAAACTACGAATAGGAATTGGAAGTTGTTTTCAACAAAACAATGACAGATTTAGAATCTGTTTTCAACAATTCAGTCAACTAATGGCAATAGGAAATTTATTGCAATATTAAGAATGCAGTTTCGGATAGTAAGGATGCTACTTTCATGTAGATAATATTATCATACATGGGAGGCGCTGTTCCTATCCCAGGGTTGTTTTGCTAGTACTGCGATCTCTGTGTAAGTGTAAGGACTGCAACTGGGCTTCATGTGATTTAATGCTCCTTGATGCAATAAAGAAAAAAATGAATTACATATACTGTACCTAGCAAACACTATGTCAGGAAGGAGATTGTTATTTTGGTTTATTTACAGCATTTGGATGCTACTTGCTAACAAAAACTATCAGGTTGATGAATAATAAAAAACCACATATAAAAATAAAATTAAAATAAGAGCACCAAAACCAGGAGGGGAAGCTGTAATAAAATTAGCCGAGCAGTCATCTTCAATTTTAGTATTTTTCCAGTATCAAATTTGCTCTTCCTTGCTTCCTCATTAATTTGCTTTTTTAGAAAAAGTCCTGAGAAAAATTCATATCCATTCTTAGACGCATATACACATTTATGTACATAGTTTTTTTAAAAAAATATGCTCTCTGCAAGTGATTTTTATCTAATGGAAGTAAAAGGATTTTAAATGCACAAGAACAATTTGAGTTGTGCATTGCATCATAATGTACAGAAAAATGCAAATGTTGGCATTCTACCACCTGCATAAATCAATTTCTGGTCAGCTGTGTGATGATACTGATTTGTGTATTACCATCCCAGGTCAAACCTCCATCTACATTCTACCTGTCTTTAGATAAGGAGAAATACAGTATTGGAAAGCACCTGAAGCAGCCGGTAAGCAGCCTGGAATGTTATTACCAGCGGAATTGGGGTGCATGCAATTTTCAGAGGTTTATGTTGCTATCCTAACAGAAAGGCAGAGGAAGAGGAAAAGGCTTTATTGCAGTGATTTTCAAACTTGGCAACTTGAAGTTGAGTGGAGTTCAACTCCCAGAATTCCCCAGCCAGCATGCTGGCTGGGGAATTCTGAAAGTTGATGTCCACCCATCTTCAAGTTGCCAAGTTTGAAAAACATTGATTTGTTAGCACTGAAGGATTCATTGTATTAGTGGAACTGTCGGAGACACTAATCTACAACGTATTATAGCCTTTCCCAGCCCATAGGATGTGCAGCACAGCAACTCCCGTTATCCTCCAGTTAGCTGTGATGGCTGGGAGATTATGAGGTCTTCAGAAAGCTTGCATGTGCAGGACTCCAGGTTGGGGAAAGCTGATGTAGCATCTCAGGGTTTTTAGTGGGGTTAGGACAATAGGCACAAAGGGGCAATCTCTTAAAACGTCAATTTGATTGTGTAGATACTTTACAATATGATTGTGTAGATACTTTACAAGTAGCGTCCCGTCCTTAAGAAGCTCTTATAAAATCTGACCTGGAGAGCAAAAGCAGACGAAAAATTCAGCCAGCCAGTACGTTCTCTCTCCCTCCCTCTCATCCCCACCCTTCTTCCAATCCAAGCTTTCTTGGCTCGTTCAGCTCCTCCTCACATTCCAGGCCTGCTGAAACTTCCCCTAAAAAATCTCCAGAATGGAGCCGTCTCTGCCCCTTGCAACGTATACGCTAAAAAGCTCAAAACTGAAAAACAAGGTTTTCATTATTTTCATTTCTATGGTCCTATGCACAGCCATGCTGGGCCTGCTACAGCTCAAGTTCTTAAAACCCAGATACAAAGACTTTTATTCCTTCGAAGTGAAGGATTGGAAAGGAAGAACTATCTCCTTGGAGAAATACCGAGGCAAAGTAAGTAACGTTTTTTATTTCTGATTTTTTTTTTTTTAGATGGTTAGGCAGACTTGCAGCTGTATCCTTTCTGCTGGGGGTGGAAATCCAAGGTACTGAAATAAAAGAATCTCTTTGTAATGGTTTCTGAGATAAACTGAGAAGTTTCAGTGGTTCATTCTTTCTGCTATCTGGTTTTAGGGACCAGGAATATCCACCCCAAAGGAGACTTGGCTGAATCAGATCCAGCTTTTAAACTTTGCAGAGGCATCTGATAGTTACCAACAGAGTCTGGTTTGATAGGCCAGTTCTTACATTATTCTTTATTTTGTTATAAAAACTGCAGCTGTAAGCATAGTCAGTAGGTGTTTTTTTCAATGAACTATTGTTGACTAGAATTCTTGGACCTGGTGACTAAATGCATACATTCTTATGAGCAATTGAAGCTAGATTGGTTCCTAGGGTTTGTAATGCTAAACAAACTTTTATTTCAGTGAGAGAAAGTAAACTTATGTTTCATGAATTCACATAAACTAAAGTAAACTAAAAAGTGCTTTGTTTTGTCTGAATTGTATAGTTTGCTTCTACTTAATACCTATGATTTAAATGCTGTATTTTTTTATAATGAAACTAATCTGAACACTAGGCTTTTCTGTACTGAGATACCCATGATAAATGGGATAGGAAGATATTTTATCAGCATCAATCTGATCAGCCTTTTTTCTTTTTTTCTAATTTTCTATTTGTCTTAAGGCAGCTCTGGTTGTAAACGTGGCTAGTTACTGCCAGCACACAGAAAAAAATTACATCACGCTGCAGGAACTCCAGAAAGAGTTTGGATCATCCCATTTCACTGTGTTGGCCTTTCCCTGCAATCAGTTTGGGGAAACAGAGCCAGGCCTGAATGAGGAGATCATTTATTTTGCTAAATCAAATTATGGAGTCACCTTCCCCATCTTCAGTAAAATAAAAATTCTAGGATCTGAAGCATCACCAGCATTTAAATTTCTGATAGGTAAGCCTGTGTCTCTCTTAAGCTGCATGTTGTGTCTGACTTCTGCAATCTTACTTTTAGGCAGAAATGTGTACCGACTTCAGGTTCACTGGATTTGCAGCTATTTAAAAAAATGTTTCTAGTACCGAAATCCCTCCAAATATTCTTGAAAAGTGCAACCGAATGCCAGCCAAAATCCCAGAAAAAAGGGCTGTCTAGACAAATCTGCAATTTGAAATAGAATTTATTTATTTATTTATATCATGCAGTTCTTTGCCTTCTCCTATGACTAACCCCTGAGAGCCAGTTTGGTGTAGAGGTTAAGCTACCTTTGAACAACATTGGTTACCTCATATAGACTTGATCTGTATGTATGACAATCCCAATTCATCTAGAGAGACCATTTTGGGGAAAAGTATTATACAAACATCAAAGATATTTCCATTTTTTAATAATATCCATGTTTTTTTTAAATACCAGAAAGAAGAAATGTATAGGTTTACCTAGTTCTGCAAAATTTCCAGAATTTTTTCTTCTCTAGTCAGTCTTTCATTATTTATTAACAGTAAAAGAATTGTGGACCTTATCCCATGCTTTATATTCTGAGTAGAATAATTCTATTAAACCGGATTAATGATTGTGACTATACCACCTGACAGTAATTACTATATTGATTATTACTTTTTGGAATATTTTGGTAGTGTTGAAGCTTCTGAACTGGTCAAGCTGCATCATATCATAGGACAGGCTGTTGATTCGTTTTTGACAGAGTTTTTTTAGTTCCTACAGAGGAAGAAAAGTATAGCCATAGGCAGAGAGGTGGGGAAGGGGGAGATAGGGAAATCAAGATGTAAGGAGAAGACAGTGCTAAGAAAATAGAATAGAATGATGGAACAGTCAGTAGAAATAACATGGAAATGGACAGGTTATAATAAGTCTCATGGAAGAAGGAAAACCTGAAAAAATTATCAGATCTGAACATGATTAGTAGGCGCTGAGTTTACATATTGTTCTGAAATCAAATTTTAATTACAAGCTGCTAGTTTCATATTAGTCTATAAAAAGTATGAGAAAATGAAATGCAAAAATTCTGTTAATATTGGTTAAAATATGGGTTGAGTATCTAAGTTCTACTGATCCCAGCTGACTGCCCATATTTTTCCAAATCACTTCCCTGTTGTTTGTGACCTAAATATTCTTATGTTATGTTATTCCTGCAGATTCTTCCAAAAAGGAACCTAGGTGGAATTTCTGGAAATATCTCATCAGTCCTGAAGGTAAAGTTGTGAAATACTTGAGACCTGAAGAACCCATACAAAACATCAAGCCAGATATAGCTGCTCTGATTAGGCAGATCATTATGAAAAAGAGGGAAGACCTTTGAGGAAGCTACCATGCCTTGTGGATCCATACATTCCTGCTCAAATATGGCAAATGCTGAACTATCAGTAATTTTTCTTGCCACTTAGTGCCATAATAAACTTTGATAACAGAAAATTATTCTGTTTAGGACTATTAAAGATGCTGAGGACAAAGGAAGCAAAGAATTTAATAGTGCTCTAAGCATTTTACCCAACTGAGCCTTGGACCCTACAAACATGTTTACCTGGGATATTTGGTTAGGAAATCTGATTATGACCAGCATAAGAGATGGATTTTTTTTTTAAGGGGGAAAAATTTACAATAAATACTGCTTTCCCAAATCAGTTCCTCCTGTGATTTTACACACACACACACACGTGGTATTGTGACTTTAGAGAAAGAGCCAGTTTGATGGTTAAAGGCACTAGGCTAGAAATGGTGAGACTGTGAGTTCTAGTCCTGCCTCGGATACGAAGCCAGCTGGGTAACCTTGGGCCAGTCACTCTCTCAGCCCTAGGAAGGAGGCAATGGCAAGCCACTTCTGAAAATTGCCAGGAAAACTGTAGGAACTTGTCCAGGCAGTCGTCAGGAGTCAAGACTGACTCAAAGGCACAGAAAAAAAAGTTAGGGGTAACATAACAAAATAATGTCCTTTTCCCATGTTCAAAATTCACTATTCGTAGGATGATTAGTCTGCTGTCCTCAGGAGCTATCTCCATTGCACTCCTAGTGCACAACTGTACTCTTCGCAGTGGCTTTATTATACTTTTGGCTGACCCTGAATAATCCTGAAAATAACTAAAAATAATCCAACATCTGTAGCCCATTGTTTTAATTCAATGCGCTGGTTCAGACAATAAACAGTACATTGAAATAATCTTTTCGTTATGTATGCTAACAGCACATCATCCATTTTTCTTCAGCATCTACCCCAAATGGATTATTATTAATCAAAATGATTTAGAGTATTGCCATTGTACAGCAAGAGTCAGCTCAGGGGTGTCTGCAGAGCGTAGTAAAAAAAAGTCAAGATGGCTGCCACAGTAGCATGATTAAAGCATGGCATGCAAAAAAAATGTGCGGAGCTTCTGTTGCACCGCTGTGGCCGCCATCTTGACTTTTTGATTATACCATGCAGATACCCCCCAATCAGCTGATAACGCTTTAATAGACATTTGCATTCTGTTATGTTACTAGATGGAAATAAACATGATGATGAAAGTAGTCTCATTTTAAACAGGCACTACTTCATATCATCTGAATGCAGCAGATTCTAGCAAAGCTCTATTCTTGCCCCTTCCCATACAAGGAAAGTAATAAAGAAGCACGTCTCCACTGCTGGAACTGAGCCCCTGTAGCTATCCACATACGGGACAGGAAGCCTTGGCTGGAGTTGCTGCTCCAATGCATCCGTGCAAATTGGACACACCCAGAGCCCTTCCTTCAAGGGTTCTAGAATTACGAAGTACTGATTGCCTAGCCCTTGGGACAATTAAAAAAAAAAAACCTTTTAGAATCAGTCTGTCACCAATTGGCTGGTCCAAGCTCAGGTCTCCTTCACTGTCATCCCTTAAGTAAACAATGAAAAATTGTCTATTAAAAAGTAACAGCATTAAACCAGCCTTCTCCAATCTTGGCACTCTCCATCCATGTAGATTTCAACTCCCAGAATTCTTGGCAATGGCTATGCTAACTGGAGAGTTCTGGAGTTGAAGTCTATGTGTCTGGAGGGAGCCCAGTTTGGGCAAAGCTGCAATAAACAAAGAATACAGCAGATGTACGTACATGCTGATATTTGGGGTGGGGTGGGATAAAACTAGAGAGCTTACTGAAGCATAATGGAGTGCTTTCCTCATAGTCACAAACTTTCTGACTTTTTAAAATATCCAGAGTATCCTGCTTAATCCAGGAAGATTTGTTTAATTAAGAGTGCAATCCTTGAATTCTCAGAAACTATCCCAAAGTAGCCATCAGATTTTTAATATGACCCAAGAGATGAAATACATTGTTATAATATTAGCAATATCTCATTCATTTAATTTAAATGCAATTAAAATGCAATCCAATTATCTTTTCTCCTGGTTCCATCCACTTTTTAACATGCAGTCCCTAGTACCTGGCTCAAAGTCCAATTGCAGCTTTCAGATTTAAATTATGATATGTTAAAATAAACCATAATAAAAATGTGGTTGATGGTCTATGCCTGTTAACAAAGAACAGTTTGAACCTACTAGAGTCTAACTCAACAGATGCAATTATAAATCCAAGGTACTTTAAAATGAGGACTAAAAGATCCCCAAGGGCCAGGAATCTTTATGATGGTTGTTCATAACATGCCAATTAACTATTAATTCTCCTAAAATATGGTTGTCTGCAACTCAAAAACCACAGAAGTTTGAAAACATTTGAATACATATCTCCAGACTAATAAAGCAACTTTCCCGAACATGACCCATCTCCAGTTGTGTGAGATTATGGCTCCCATCTCAATCAGGAAAGCCACCGGGG